ATGGTTCCCTTGTTTACATTTGAGATAACCCTAGTCCTAGATCTGTCACCATAGTGTTCTTAAATTAATGGTATTCCATGATCAAGCTTTCCCATGGATTCCCAAGACTCTACTAAGGCCTACCAGGCCTACATGAACTGATCTTGGCTTAACTCTCTGATCTTAATTCTTACAATTCTCTCAGTGATTTTTTTGAAATCTTCTCTGTGGACATTTCACACCAATATGTACCCCTGAGGCTTTATTGTTGTCTGGAATTCTTTTTGACTTATTAATACTATCTTTGTTAATTTTTTCAAGTTTCTGTTCGGAGGATACCTTTCCACAAAAATTCATTTATCTTTTCAAACATAATAATTTATTTACTATATTTTATTTATTTTTATTTCTTTATAAGTATTACAACTCCTGTTGCATATTAAATGGGTAAATATTTATTGAATGGATATATGCTATGCTGTGAACTGAACTGTATGTCTCCAAAATTTACATGTTGAAACTTCAACCCCCCATGCGACAGTACTGGAGATAGGTCCTTTAAAGAGATAACTAAGGCAAAAAAAAAAAAAAAAAATGTCCTGAGAGTGGGCTGTACTGCAATATGACTGGTGTCCTCATTAGAAGAGAAAGACACACCTAAGGCAAATGCACAGAAACAAGATCATAGGAGGACACAACCAGAAGGTTGCCAAGAAGGTCACCAAGAAGGGAGTTTGTAGAGGAAATCAAACCAGCTAATACCCTGATCTTGGGCTTCCAGTCTCTAATAACAATGAGGAAATACAGTTTTCTTTTGAAGCTGTTGAATTTGTGGTATGTTTTTGGCCATCCTATCAGACATGCTATACATGAAATATTAATAGACCTTCTAAAACAAATTAGGTTTATACTCAAAGTAGAAATAAATCAAAGAGATCTTATACTACTCCCACCTAGGCATATTAATATGTGAATGACTTCACAGGAGTCAGTACCCTTAATATCAGGGATAATGTTTATTCCAACCATCAGTTCTCACTGTGTAATATATCTAAATTTTAAATGTAGTACAAACATACCCTTTGGTTATGTTTTGAGCTATTTTCTTTATGTAATGTATTCAGAACAGGCTAACCTCTGGTATCTGAAACACATTTTTCAAAAGCAGCTACAATACCTTTTAGGTACTTTCTTCTTCAAAGCAAAAAACATACATTCACTTAGCTTTTAAAATATTTATTTTTAAATCTGCATGGAGTTTTTTTTATTTTTTTTTTTAGCTAAAATGACTTAACTAAAAAAACAATAAAGTGTGAATAAGATGATAGCTAAAGACTTAGTATGTCTAACAAAATGTAGAACTTAAGGTCATGACTGAAAAGGCCATTTGGAGGCTCCTTTCCATAAAGTCTTTAGCCTTCATTAAAATTTCACCATATGAAATAATGTTTGAGTTTCTTCATTTGTGATGTAATATTTGCAAATTGAATAGTTCAAATAATCTTGTAAAATCTAAATAAAATGCTACTTTATTTGGCATTTGCACTTAAAAATCAGCCACATACACTGGGAATGGGAATCTTTGCTTCTAATTTTTACCTGTGGACTAAGCTATTTGGAACAATCCTCCAAATGTAGGAAATTAAAAAAAAAAATTGAATATATAATGTATTTGCAAAGCTAAGGGATTAGAGAACCAAAACTTAAGAGAAGAAGGTAACATAGAAAAGTTGGGTGGTGCCTGTGGCTCAAAGGAGTGGGGGCCTGCCCCATATGCTGGAGGTGGTGGGTTCAAACCCAGCCCCGGCCAAAAACTGTCCCCCCCCCCAATATATCTAAAATAGCCTAGCATTTGGAACTGCTTTTCCCTGAGATGCATATGCTAATCTTAAAAGAGGAAGTAGCTGGGTATGGTGATGCACACTCATAGTCTCAGAAAGGAGGGAGGCTGAAATGCGAGGATTGCTTGCGGCCAGGAATTTGAGAACAGTCTGGACAACATATGAGACCCTATCTCACAAAGGTAAACAATAAATTAGCTGGGTGTGGTGGCATACTGTAGTCTCAGCTACTCTGGAGGGTAAGGTAGGAGGATCACTGAAGCCCAAAAGTTAGAGGTTATACTGACTTGTGATCAGGCCACTGCACTCTAACTGGGTGACAAAGAGAGATTTTGTTTCTGCTACAAACAACAACAACAACAACAACAACAAAAAACCCAACCAACTAATAAACAAAACAATGAAATAAAAGCCTTTAAGATGGTAACAAAAATTGGGGTAGGATTTGCTAGATGAGGGTGGGATTCAGAAAATAAAAATATCCCATTGTGATTGAAACTAATAAATACTATTCGAGTAATTCACAGGTCAAAAAAATAAAATCCACAAGAGATATAAGAAGTGTTTTTAACTGGATAAAAATAAAAATACCTCATCTCAAAATTTCACAAGTTTTGATAGCTTATAGGATGAAGCCAAATTTGTGTTTAGAGGAAAACTGATAGCCTATAATGTACAAGAAAAGAAGTCTGAGGAACTCATCAATTCAAAATTAAAACAAATCAGCAAGTTAAACCTAAACTTAAACAGATAAGAGGAAGGACATAATAAATATAAGAGCAAAATTAATAAAACTTACTGATTTTATAGTTTCCTAAATTTAGTGCGATGACACTGCTTTTGATGTTTCTAATAGTGGATATAACCCTTAATAATGTAAACCCAATTTCAATTTCAATTTCAATTTCAATTTCAAGCATTCCAACTTCTTGTGCCATTTTTGATCCTTCAAGCTTCCTCCCTCCATCAAGTCTACAGTCTACAAAGATCTCAGATGCATTGATCCTGCCATGGTTTCATTCTCCCTCCCACCTTCTTAGACATACTTCCCTCTTACCCAGTTTAAACACAGAGATTTCAATGCAATTAATTGCATTCATCTTCAACTTCCTTAAAATCCTCTTGACCAAGCCCAAATCAAGTCAAATCCAACTCTCTTCCTACGTTGTGTGTGAACTGTGCAGCTGGATGTTGGAATAACATACAACTATTCATGTCATTTTGAAGTCATGGCCACAAACTTCAAATGAGACTTGATGTGCCTCACAGATAGTCCATCTCTGCAGCTTTTCTCTGCCCCATCTCCTAGACACTACTCCCAGTGTTTCTCTCTCCCAATACGCCATGGCTCCTCTCCATCCTCATGGTCAGCTGGTGGTCATGGAATCTATCTCATTTAGAAAATTAAAGCAATCAGAAGTAATTTCCAGAGAAAATCTGGTACAAAACAGTTTATACTGTGGACTTTGGAGTAAGGAAGGGACATGTGTTAATATTTTTAAATGTAAACAACCAGAAAATAAATCCAAAATGGGAATAAACACATACGGAGAGCAAGAGGGGGCAAAGTGAAAGAGACAAGGATGGAATTACGACTTCTGTGACTGTACTTAGTTACTTAGCTTCCAATTTGGTACATGTAAATGTATTACATAATCGAAAAGCACATTAAATTAAAACAGCAATTGAAAATAAGATGACAGAAATAAACCTGAGAGTAGGTTAAGTTAATGGCAAAATTATACAGAGGACAGAATTACTTCAAATGATTTAACCTAGAATGACTACATCTCATTCTGAAGGCAGCAGTCCTTTTGGGCGGCCCTCTCACCAGCTGTCCTTTCAGGGTCCAGCAACTATTCTCTCCCTGTCCCTGTAGGCCCTGCAGGGATGACAGTTCTCTGTAACCAATGTGTATCAGCCCTTGTTGCTTTCTCAAAACTCCACTCACATCATTGTAAATAGTCCTTTTAGTAAACCTGCCTCAATTTCCAGAATCTGAAATAGAAAGTATTGTCCATTTCTAGTTGGTATCAGCTATGGAAAGAAAATCACAAAAATGTGATGCTGGGATGAGATGGCTCCCGTATCTGGGTAGTGCATGTTCTTGGTGATTGGAGGACTAT